ATGAAAAATTACTTCAGTAGATGTTAACTTCTTGGCAGATTCTTCAACGTAACTGATTTCCTCCTTTGTTACATCAGTAGATTCTTTGACAAACCTAAATCGAATTGGTCTGCAATATTTAGGCGATGACGGTGTTGGATTTTGCCAAAATATTTTTTTGCTTTCTTTGCCACACATTATTCGAAGTGGTACAAAAGAACTCAGAAATATATTTGCGTCTGAAGCAGTGTCATCGTCGAATTTTTGTTTATATTTGGCTTGTTGGGATCCGTCACAACCCCATTTACAGATAATTTTCAAAGAATTCCTTTCATTGTCCTTTAAAGTACAAAGGATTTCTTCTAGCGCCATTGATAAGCGCTTAACTGTATTATCAATTAGGCTTTGTAAATTGCTTTCTGCAGAGGTACTTGTGACAGTCATGCTATCTTTGGGCGGATAACATTCTGTTTTTGCCTTTAACAATAGGTTGTAGCACGGATAAAATGATTTATTTGTATTCCTGATGATTTCATATTGTCTCTTGGTCAAATCGGCTTCAACAAACATGGCTAGGGCTTGTAATGGTGTAAAAGAAGTAATTTCGTCTTGGTCTGATTTTCTGTATGCGTTTCTGTATTTTCCTGCACGAGTTGGAGAATTTGTTATTTCTTTTAATATTTTCGAAGCATCCCTTTTTCCTCGAACCTGTAATGTTGTTTGCGCTGCATGAACAATTACTTCTTTACTAAGCGAAGAACGTATTTCTTCTGTTTTTCTTCTTTTAGTCCTCTCACTACAATCTTCAAATGGTTTAGAAGGCCGACCTAGTCGAGTTTGTTTATTTGCTAACATTTCAAATGTTCCTTCTAACCAAGCTTCATTGGTTTTAAGAAATATTGCTTCTTTTCTATGGGCTTTAGACCATTTTTCTTTGATTGAGGTTTTAAAGTACGCAAATCTTTGTTTTAAATTGCTTAGATTATCTGGTGTATCACTATAAGAGGACAACAGGTGATTTTCCAGAAATTTAAGTTTTTCATCCAAGTTAGGCAATTCATGTTGTTGCATTAGATCGTAAAGATATCTGCGGCTAACTATTTTTGTACCCGAAGTACCAGGTGTACCTAAAATAAAGAAAATTGCAGTTAAGTACATTTGATTTAAAATTCCATTTTTTTTTTAATCCATAAAAAAACATAATTTGGTCATCCGCACCTATCCGCACTCAAATTGTATGTCATTAATTAGCCTAATGTACGAAGTATATAATACAATAACAAGTATTACCCGAGAAGACGCGATAATATAACAAAAAATCCTAATAACATTAAAATTTAGTAAAAACTTCATTTAAAACAACCCTTTATTGAATTTCTATAAATATTATTATATAACGTTAAAAAACATTTAAACATATCAATAAATATTGATTCTTACCTGTATTATTCGAATCCATTAAAATAACTTTAAAATATTAGGTGGACACCACAAAATTTACCTTTGCTTAAATGTTTACACTGAGGACGCTAAGAACAATGACATGCACTCCGTGAGACGACCAAGTTTCAACTAACTACGCGCGCGCACGAAGATAGGTTCGCAAGAGGGGATGGTAAAATATTGTTACTGGAACATTCCTTTGGCTCTCGTATGCTTGTGGTATTTTTAAATTCATTTTAAAAATTTGATTTTTGACCGCCTAAATCCTTGAAATCAACGTATGTGCGACGACCCAAAAATGTTCGAGTTTTACGAACCGTCTCCGCCAAATTTTCACCATTTTTATAGTGAATTTTAATAATTTCAATGCGTTGTTGAAGCGTGTATCGTTCCATTTTTATTAATGGCGTAACATTGTCAAATGTCAAAACATGACAGCTCCAAAAGTGACATCTACCGAAATAGCGGGCTATTCAAAATAACACTTCTTATTGGAAAACCCTTTATTTACTCAACAAACAAATTGCACACGTTATCTAAATATTTTATAAAAAATTAACGTTATGCTCATTTAATTATTTGAAGACTCGAATTAAATAATGTACTAAGTGCCAAAAAACCTGTTTTTTATTTTACAAAACCGTTTTTTGGCACTTAGCACATTATTTAATTCAAGTCTTCAATTGTATTTAAGATATATTCGTTCTTCTGCAAGATGAAATCATAATTCAAGGCCAGAGGATTTTTCGGGCTACTGAAAATAATATAAAGATAATTCTCCTTAAATAAACTAAACTAAAAAGGAAAGTAACAATAAAAGACTGATAAGATTTAGTTAAAAATATTTTATTAAAAAACATAAATATTATTGGTTTTTAAATAACACTAATTTTTAATTTTGTGTTTATTGATCTAATCCTGTTTTTTTTTTTTGACAAAACAACATGTTTTTTTTACTTCATAATGAAGTCTAATATTAAAATAATGTTTTAAACATAATTTAATTAATTGTGTTGGATGTGAATCAATTATTGATGTTTCTAATAAATGGTCTTCGCAATTTTCAAAAATTTTATCGAGTAAATTTTTTATCACTGTTAGTATCAACACATCTGTTAAACGTTTTATATTTAAAATATTTTTTGTTTTTATTAAAATTCTTAAATATTTTGTATGATTTGTCACTCTCTAACAAATTTGCATACTTACTACATGTAACACATTTTTTTAGTGCTTTGACTACATATCCTGATATATAGGTAACAATATCTTCCACGTAATCTGTCAAATTCCAAGAAGTACAATTCAAAGTAACATCTTCAAGTTCTTCCATTGTACTTTCCTGGAATTTAACAAATTCCTTATCATTTTCCATATCATCAAAATTTTGATTGTAAGTAATGCGACCACATGAAAGAATTGGAATTGTGTCTAATGACAGTACATTTCCTGTGCTTGGGCCAGAGATTTCAGAATGATAAGACGTTTATAGGCAGCCTGAAATTGACTAGAAGTGGGGTTGTTACTGAAGCCACCTCTGCTCCTTATGGCACCAAAAAATGATTCCAAGTGATCTTGTGAAATTCTGTGAGTGGGAGGGAAAAGATGAAAGTAGTTTTTTGTTTATGGCTAACGTTTGGTACATTTCTTTTAAACTTCTAATATTAATTAAAAATTCTAAAAAACCCGTTTTTCGCTGGGTTTCCAAAATGGGGATACCACCTGAATTTAAATTTAAAATATATTTAGTGATTTCTTCTAAATATTTAAAGAAATGCATTTGAGTTTCAGGCGATAAAGACTTTTTAAATGTATATTTCGCTACCTTACTATGAGAATTAAAAATAAATTGTTAAATTTTAACAAAAAATCTGCTGTAGCATCAACATTTTTAAAATTTACTAATTTCAAATCGTGGCACAGATATATCTAATAATGCATCCGAGACACTTTTACTAAGTGTCCAGTATGTGTGTAGTGTATAGTGAAATAACAACTTTTTGACATACCTAGGTACTAAAAACAAAAGTTTTGCCGAATAACATTACCCATGAAACTTTAAGGCAACGACTCAATAAAATTGAATCATTTTAAAACCTGTTTTAAAGAGATTTAATAAAAAAATTCAGAATTTTTACACAAATTCGATTTTTACATAGGATTAACTAGGTACTTTGAGATTTTTAGGAATATTCCCAGTACCAATTTTAAAATTTCGCATCTTCTCCTGCTTTGTTAAGGCTGATGGACAAACATGGTTAATTCAAAACATTAATAATACTAATAATTTAAAAATATATAAGATACTTTTCGTAATGGGTACGTCTTTGATAAGTAAATTCTAACCTATAAATACTCACATATGAAACGAAGAATTTGGGTCCAATTTGTCCTGTTTTTTACAAATTTTGCACTGATTCACCACTTTTAAAGTTTGTATGTTAACAAAATAACAGAAAATCACTTTCACAAGAAAAAACTTAGAAAAACCGATGAACAATAACACTAAACAATCTCTACAACGTCAACTGTCAAAACAAGTTGATGAAATAATGAATGAATATTTTGTATGCCGTTGTCTAAGCTCGTAATAAACAACGTAATATGCCCCGCCTACAAAATACTAGCTATTGCCACATCTCGTAAAAAATACTTGATATCCAATATACCATTAACAAGTTTTGGAATTTATTGAAAATAATTACATCTAATTTAGTGAAATTATATCTAATTTAGTTAAATTTGATATAACTAATGATTTAAAATTTTTTGGGTTCAGTTGCAATAAAATAGGTTGAATTATTTTAGCTTTTTTAATATATGCAAATAATTTTGTAAACAAAACGAGAATAATAAAATAGGCATATGACAACAGCGGATATTATACCCTAGTGTGTCCCTTAGAATATGTCTTATTCACGACCGCACGATATTTGTAAGTAACTACATCTCCTGTTATCTCTGTATGTGCCACACACGGAACCTGAGGTAGTTAAAGGTGCTATGTAATCGCATTCTTAATATTGGCCTCATTATCTGAGACTACTACCACTATTTTATTTTATTTGCTATATCCCATTCTCGAAAAAGGAATTTTAGAGCGGTTTCAATATGTTTCCAGTATGAAATCCTGGTAGTTCGCATATTGCTAAAACGCATGAATACAAAACGACTTCACTTACGAAATGTGTTGTCAGTATAATGTCATAAAAGTCATGAAATATAGATATCCCCATATCTTTTTTCTTACATTATCCTTAGGTAAATAAAATCATAAAGTAAACAATAATGGTATTTTTATAATTCTAAGAAATTGAGTTCTGTATTAACTCCATTGCATCTGCAATGCGACACAAGTGTTGTGCAATTTCTTAATTTGTTGTAGCTGCTTTCTCTTTTGCAGCAGCTGCTCTCTCTTTTGCAATAGCTGCTTTCTATTTTGCAGAAGCTATTCGTTCTGTAGCAGCTGCTGATCTTTCCAAAATCATAGTAATTTTATTTTATTTTTTCCAGAGATTTCTTATAACTTTCTGCTGCTTCAGATGCATGGATTAACTTTTTTTCGGTGCTCGAGGAAATTACTTCATTATTTTGCTTGGATTTTCGACATTTTCGTACATAGCATTTGATGTGCTACGAGTTTCCTCATCTCTGTCTATCACAACAGGCTCATTTTTATTGTTATCATCATTATGAAATATAAAATCAGTAGCTGATTCAGCAATATTCATGTCCCCTTCTAATGATACTGTATTTATTGTCTCCAATACTTTCTTCTCATATCCATCAGTGGAAAAGGTTGCAAACGGTTCACCTCCAGTACCTCCTTCATATTTTCTCTGTATTGAATTTTTGGATTTTTTCTGTATCTAATATCCTGCCATGTCTGTAAAAAGATGATAACACATTTTAAACTTTAAAATCCATTTCCAATATAAATTATTACCTTTCTCCAAGATTTCCAATCTTTACTGGCCCCATTTCCACAGCTGTGTAAAATATTCGAAATTTTCTACCAGAGATTTTGGACATCTTTTAGTTTGAAAGTATTTAAACATTTCCCAGAAACTAATTGGAGATTTTTTTTACAAATTCCAGAAGCAGCTGTTTTGGCTCCATGGAAGCATTAGCGGTTCTAATTTTTTTCTGCTCACTCTACATACTTTTAAAAATATAATAGAATCGCACAAATTATGAAAACTGTCATTACATGATAGAAAAATTATTATACTATCATTCAGCTTGCCATTTTAATATAATTGTAACGTTGCCAAAGTGAAACTGTAGACCATTCGCAAGTTATTGTCAAGGGGTCTCAATAATTTCATTTTAGGAAAGTATGCGCAAGTGAACCCTTCGCAACGTTGAGTGTACGTGTATTTGCAAAGGATGTCAAGAATAGCGCTGCTTTAGTAAGTAAAATATATTTGACATTGCTTATAATATTGTTTTTTAAAGCTAAGGTTGATACTGTGTATTTTTTTACACAATAATTCATCTGAACTTTTTCCAGGTAGGCCAAAGTTACCTTCAGAAGGGGTAACTTTAGCCCATGTGTCAAAACTCACGCTATAGTGCATTAAAAACCAGTCTTGTGGGAGTACCTATGCTGTGAGTTACGTGGGTAATAATTAAAATAGTAGACAGGAAGAAATTTTAATAAGTTTATTTACAAAAAATAACCGCAAAATAATATATAGCACTTAAACAAAATTATCGAGCTCTTGAACTCTTCTTTGGGCTTATCAATTTTTGTAATAACGTCTTCCCAGTTGTAAAGGATTGCATCTTTCTTTTCTGTCCATCTCCAAAACCTTAATCCTTTTTTTATGCAATCATGCAATCTACTGTAGGTCCCTCTTCTGAAACGGCGATAATCTTTCCAGGGTATTTGTTGTTATTAAATACCACTACTACGAAGTCACCAATCGTCATACTTGTAGGATTCATTCCTGGATTTGTCCTTGATTCTTGATCGAAGTTTTGGACAACAGGTTGGGATACTTCTTCTAGGCCTGAAAATGTTTCACTCAATTCATCTGATTCTAACTGAAGTTCATGAGACGAGTTATCAGAAGAACTATGTTTTCTTGCGGGCTTAGCATCAGTAACCTTTGAAGGTCCAGAAATGTCTGCAATTGTCATTGGCAGTTATGCTTTTTCCAGCGGGAACCTGTAGTTTTTCCCCCTTTGTTTCGGTTTGTCAGTTCCTAGATATTCAGAACGTTTTGCAACGAGTTGTTCTAAAAAGGCTGTACCTACCAAGTCTTTAGCTACTTCTGTCAGATTCTCTGGTAGGCGGTCAAGTAACACTTGCTTATTCGGAGGATATATTCCACATTTTCGGACTCCAGATGTTAGGTTTTGAGCTTTGTTTTCCTAAGTTCTCCACCAATTTTTTTAGTAATGTTGGAAATAAATCTTTGGGTATAGTCGAGAACCTGGTTTCGACTTTTTTTCATCTGTTCAAAATTATTCGCCAAATTATTTTCATTGGTGCGAAAAAGGCCACGTCTAACGGTTGAGTGGTGTGAGTAGTATTTGGCGGTAAAGACACGAATCTGACTTCATACTGTTCACAGAGCTGAAGAACCATTGCGCTTATATGCGGGGATAGGTTGTCACCTATCAGAATAAGAGAATGACGTACTAAAGTCTCTGTTGAAGCACACATTACAGGATCTCTAAAATTACTTAGGACACCTTCAGATATATCTTCCTCGCAATTGGAACCCATAGAATGTGTAGATACCAAATTATTTATTAATAATGATTTACATGATGAAATAAATGCAAAACATGTGGGATTAGTATTTCTGGTACCATGATTTCTTACAGAAGAACAGAAATTTCCAACAGAATCTTGATTCATGTTTCGTGGTGCAAATTATTTTTGGAGTCAAGTAAATTATACCTCGTATTGAATAAATCCATTTTTTTAAAGAAGTAGGAATTAGTTTAGAAGAGGAGTTAGGTGAAGTGAAGTACATGGATGAAAGAATAGGAAGACAAGTGTACAAAAAGTTGACATGAGCAGAATTTTTTGTTACAACACTACGTAAAATTCTTGTCCTGGAAGAGGATATCTACTATGGCCATTTACACTATCAAATAATTTATCAAATAATAAGAGTAAGTGAGCAGTTTCAGATGCTTTTGGGTCTATATACATATTAGATGAAGAAGGCTATTAAGTAATATAAGTAGATGCAACATATAAAGATGTAGCAAACGTATGACTAAAGACCTGTGTACAGTTTTTGCCTCTCATTTTTTTGTATTTTTTGTGGGTAAATTTGTTCAGTTATTTTTGAAAACTAACTATAAGCACCTCTACTTTTATCCATTTCGTACATTTTTAAAATATGTTGCCATGATCCCACTTTGTCAACACCGTCCTGTTTAAAATGAAAATCCCTTTTTAATAAGCTATTACGAATACCTTTCATTAGTTGAGGAAAATCATACAAATGTATTATTTCATCACCTTCACCATCAATCAGATACCCAAACAACTTATTTTCCTTACCGTTTCTCTTGAAGAATTCATCAGTTTGTTGCCTTAAACGATTAATAGCAGCTTGATTTGCAGATCCTTGGTCAGAAATGGTGCAAACAATGTGTAGGCCTACTGAGCGAACATTTCTAATTACTTCTTTTAATACTCTCGTCAAATCTGAAGTTGGTATAGTACCTTCACATTAATAAAAACATAAAGGTAATTTCCACTGCTTATGAAATCCCTTTAACAGGAAAACAAGTGCATGGTCAGCAAACTGGGTTCGTCTATCCCCCTTACCAAAATCTACAAATCCATCAATTGAATTATTTGTAGCATTATAATTGAGTCCAGACTGCAATGCTATTTCATCAAACATTAAGACACAAAATGAATCTGTTTCATTTTGTTAACTTTATTTTTAATGTGATTTAATACTATTGAATTTAACACTGGTATATAAGGCTTTTTAGCAAGTAATTGTCTTAAAGTTTTTCGGGATGGCAAACTAAATATTTTTGACAAGTATTTATTACCCTTTCCATTTTATTTCTGAATTGATAATGCAACAATTTTATCATCTAATGTAAATCGTCTGCCTCTAGGTTTAGTTTTTTTGTGACTTTATTTGAGAAAAAAGTGAAATTTAAAGTAACACTATTTATATAGCCCTTTCCTAACATATTTTTAAATTCATCTTTTTTTTATCAACTATTTATTAAACGATGAAAGACAAAAATAAGTAATTTTTCTACATAGTCTCCCCCTTTAGAAATGCATTTTTCCCAGCGCACGGGAAGGTTTTTCATCCCAGCATCGTAAAATGAAACTGGTTGGGTCAACAGCCAATTGCGCACAAACTCATTCACACCTGCGTCATCGTCAAATCGTTGCCCTCCTAAAGCTTCCTTAAGCGACCCAAACAAATGAAAATCGCAGGGCGATAAGTCCGGGCTGTAGGGAGGGTGTTCCTGTTGAGTCCAGTGCATTTCTTCCAGTTTTGAAGCTGTTAGAGCTGCAGTATGTGTTCTGGCATTGTCATGGAGAATGATGACCTCTCGAATCCGTTGTTTTCGTCTTTTTCTGCGATATGCATCTCTCACCTTAATCAATAGCTCGCAGTAGTAAGCAGCATTGATTATGCGTCGCTCGTGTAAAAAATCAATGAGCAAAATCCCTTACTGGTTAAAAAATACTGTTGAGAGAACCTCGCTAGCTGACAGTCTAGTTGGAGCTGCCTCCCCTTTTTCCTGCCACTCTATACTGGACGGTTTCGACTCTGGAGTGTAGTGGTGGACTCGTGTCTCGTCGTAGGTGACGATACTACTCAAAAATGAATCACCTTCTTCCGCAAACCTTGCTGCAAGCCTTTGACAGACCTCCGAACGTCTCAATTTGTGACCATCGTTCAAAAGGAGAGGGACCCATCTGGCACAAACTTAACGGAACTCTAGGTTCTTTGTGATAATCGTTTGACAACTCTAATAACTTATTCCCACCTATTTTGCAATTTCGAATACCGTAACTCGTCGATCGTCTTCAACAATGTCTCGAACTGCGCGAATGTTTTCAGCAGTAATGCTGGTCTGAGGACGGCTGTAATATTCCTCATTTTGGGTGTAATTTTTGCTCGGACATCGCGACAGCTACTGACAAACCGGTTTGGGATCTGAAACGACTGGCTCCTCCTACTCCCAGTGACCACACCCAAGCATACAAGAAGCACGCGCTCCTGCCAACCGTAAATGCTCAGAAAAAAATCCCATTTATATTTGATTCATCTTCGTACATTGGTAAATTCATCCCTGAAACATATAATCTTCGTAGGACTTTGATACTTTCAATATACCAGAACAAGTGTGTGCAATTCGGTGTCTATAAAATCAATTTTGACTTTATTTTTTACTAGTAAATCAGAACCTGTACAGAATCTTAAAAAAAAGACCTAATTTTTTGCTGTCTAAGTTTTCTTCTACTTCAAACAATAATAAAATATTTTTAACTGTTATATAGCATTTCCAGATTTATTTTATTACTCATAGATTGAAGTGATGAAGAAAAACAGTTACTAACATAAGAAGGTTTCTGTATGAGCTCTTCTTTAGCTATCTGTAAAATAAGTATATTTTAAATTGTGCTTTTTCGGGATCCATTTTGCATCATATGCATTACAAAATTTTATAATATCACAATCGACATCTGAAAAAATTTCTAAAGCTAACTAGCCTCTGCTTCAGAAACATTTCATAAAATAAAAAAAATTAAATATTTTAAAAACAGTTTTTAATAAACTCAGGAGTTATTTTAATGAGAAAGTAGCCCACTGCTAAATAACCAGCGGCACAAATTTTTCCAATATTAATCCATTCTTCTTCTTGAAAATCGTGCCCTAAAGCGAGCACTTTATAAGATTTACTAAAAGTTAATTTTGTACAAAAAGTTTCCCAACATTCATTGATAGCGTCCCGTAAGATTTCGCTTACATCTTCGGCTTTTTCTTCTGATTTTCCATTCTGTAAAATCATTTCTATTTTAATATTTAAAAAATTGGTTATATTATGGACCTTTGGAAAAGTGAAATATTTGACGGAGCCCTAAACACATTGCCAGGTCTTCAAAATCATATTCGCCTTCCTCGTCTTAACTTCAAAAAAAAGGTCCTCCGGCCGAAAATACCAAAATCATATACTCCTTCCTCTTCCTGACTGCTTATTTTCTTCGCGGAGCCCCCACAAAGGCTTTGCGGAGCCCCAGGGCTCTACGGACCACACTTTGAGTAACGCTGCTCTAAACATAACAATTTACATACAATTAAATTTAAACTGAAATAAAACATTGTACAATTTTGATTACAGGAAAAAACTTCAAAGTGGCACTAAAGGATGATTTAGATTTATTAAGGCACAACAAACTGTTACTACTTTGTCTAATAAATTATGAGTATTCTCTGAGCTATTGTCCTTTTTTAGCATACTTATTGGGACTGGTCCTTTAAAGAACCCAAATTTATTTTTTATGCAGCCAATAATTCGTTCAACATGAATCCTGATATGAACTATATTTCGTGTTGCTTCAATATCCATAGGATGTCGTTGATTTTTTTTTCTGGAAAATGCAGGTATTACCAATTTTGCCCTCAAAATACCCAAAGTTTAACTTATTAAAAATCCTCTGTCAGCTAAAACAATATCATCAGGTTTAATACTGTTGCAAAAGCCGCTATTTTCAACAATTCGTTTGTCTGAAGATTGCCCTCCCAAAGCTTTACTTATGTAATTTATTGATCCCTGTGGAGTTATCCCAATTATAAATTGTACTGAATGATGGTGTTTGTAATTTGACCAGCACTGCTGCTGTGTTATATATTTTTCAGGCCTTTCAATAAAAATTTCAAAATAGTCCACACTTACTTTAGTATTTTCCTGAAATGTTTCTTTAAAACATACAGAGCGCTCAAGCCAAACAATAAAACCTTTAAACCTCGCATACATAATATTAATTATATTTTCAAAATATGTAGATGCAGTTGTAGGTGAAATTTGAAACTGGTAAGACAAATTTTTTTAAATGCAGGTTTTGTCTTTAATTTAATCAGGGTAACTAAAAGTTGGTTGAAAGGGACTGTTGTTGATTTAGTGCTAATGAGGTCCTTAATTTCTATAAAAATAAGTTCAACAAACTTGAATTGAAATCCTGTATAATATTTCCATTTGCGAATGTTGTTAGTATTGTCTACAAGTCCAAGGGGGTATTTTCTATTTTCTTTTCTAAATCTGAAATTTTTTTGCTGGCCAAACTCAACTGTTTAAACTGTATAGCCAACGTTTCCATTGTTATATTAGTCTGTGAAGCAATTCCATCACCTTGCTCTTCCATACAATTAACAAGTGGATCCTGTAACAAATACAAATATTATTTCTCCTTATTATAGTCATATATAAATTTCTATTATTTTTGGAAAGTTAAATAAGTAAATCTAATAATTACAACATTAAATTGTATGATTTTTAATTTATGTTTGTTATTTTCAAAAAGATTTGTGTGGAACGCTTGTGTAAGGGTGGACTTATCTCCGAATTTTGAATTAATATAATCTGAAGCATAAATGTGAATAGTATCTATATTGAGGCCACTTTATAATAATAAGAAAGAAAATATTAAAAGACGACGTTAATTGGACAACACTAAAGATAATGGTGTCGAACATATACTAAAAATCTTAATAATTATGAAAAAAACATTTACTCTGGATGTCACAAGTTAATAATTTGGCCGCAATGAAAATGGATTCTCAACATACAAAACATAACTCAAAATTTTTCGTCCAAAAGTTTGGTAAACAAAACAAAATTTTCGCTACAAGTATATTGATGTGGATATGCCTTTAAACATTTGTATTACAAAAATAAAAGTTTACCTCAGGTTCATTTTCAATTTGGTTATCTCTTTTCCTTCTTCTATCAAATCTGATTTTTCTATCAATATCGGATTTCCTTTTTGAAAAAGGTCCAGTCTGGATGATTACCATCGTCCATAGAGCTCGGTTTCCCTAGAAATAATGTCACAGTTAATGTTGCTTCTATTATTACACTTATATTTCTCCTTTTATATGTATAAAGATCTTTTTTAACTCAATATACTACTAACTAGATACTTGTATCAGTAGTATTTAAATTATTTATCAGTTTAATAAGAAAGTTGATGAAACACAATAAAGATAATTCTCATTCCTATCTTCAAAATGATCTAGTTACAGTTCCAGCAAGTACTTATGTAAAAAAATATTTTACCTGTAATAAAATGCTTGCTGCAAACTCTCTGATTCCTTAGAATAGCTTCAGTTAAACCGTCTCTTTTTATAGCAGCTATCCACGTTTTTACGTCGCTTGATTGATAAATCATTTAAATGTGGGTAGTGTTTAGAATTCAAGACCCCTGGGTCACGATAAAAATTTAAAACATTTCGATCGCCACGACTTCCACACCCCACAATCCACAATTATGTAAGTTATAGGCATTTTCTCACCGGTAAATTGTCAAAACCACTTCCACTGCGTACAGTATAAATTCTAATTCACTATTCAAATTAACTGAAGTTAAATACACTTAAAAAGTTATTAAAACATTCCAAACACAAACAATATAGATAACCTTGTCTGCCTTCCAAGCGCCATTTTGGATTTTTTTGACAGGTCGTTAGATTGCTTAATGGGCAACTGGTAGTTACAACAGTGATATATTTTGTTATAGATTTGCCGATGTTTCTTATTTGTGATAGTATAAAATTATGGTATCGACTTTCGGAGCACTCTCGACTACTGGTAGGGGAAATGTGCCTAATATCGCCCCCATTTTGAAAAATGTCATTTTTGGATTTTTTCAAATCAGAAATCGGTTTTGCTTCTTTGTGAGGTTTACTTGTAGAGTGTCTTAATCGACTAATTAACAACTTTAAGTATTAATTGATAAAATTAGGTCTTTTAAGGAATCTGAAATTATGTCCCTTTTTTCAGAGTAGATAAAAAAGTGATCCTAATATCGCCCAAGTGTGCGGTATTAGGACTACTTGTTGAAACATTCCCTAGAACAAATTAAAACAATTTCAAAATCAAGTTTCGAACATTTATTCATAAACAACTTGACAGAAACGAAAATATCTTATTCAGAGGTTATCAGCCTTCACGGCAAAAGTCACAAATAAAAGTTTTGTAGTTGTCTGACCCGGAGCATTGCTCATGGCACCAAATTCTACATTTGATGCACACTACCCATTTTTCTCCAGATTTATCATTCAGATATGATTCGTTACAAAAGGGACATTCACAGTCGTTTTCACTATCCTCTTCGTCTGTAGAAACCGTTAGGTCTTCGGGTATTTCATCATCACTGGACTCTGATGAAGATTCGATTGGTCTCTTTTTCGAAATTGCCTTCGTTTTCTTTGGGGCTGTTTCTTGTGATTTACTTCTCCCTTTTCTATCGTCTTCTTCGCCCATGAAACACTTTTTTGTGACTTTTTTAAGACCAGATTTATTGCTGTTGTGGTGCTCTTAGAACTATTGATTCTTTCCTGTTCTTTCGACAAATTATCCTTATAAGGAGAACTTGTTATTAAAGCAGCATTCATAGATTTTCTGCCTCTTGTACGCATCTGAGTTGGTTTTTTGATAGAAAGCATTGGGCTGATATCAAGAGGCATTATCCGGGAACTGCCAGGTTTAGTAATGGTAGTGCTGCATCCAGGGTTTGGGTCAGCGGTCAGTATCTGGGGACTACCAGGTTCACTAATGCTGCTGCTGCATCCAGGTTTTGGGTCATGAGGCATTACCGGGAACTGCCAGGATCACCTGTAGTAGCGCTGCATCCAGGTTTTGGATCGTCAGGAGTGTTTGGTACGACTTGTTGTTTTTCATCCCCTTGTTGCTCATTATCTTGTTGCAAATTTTCTGGATCCACAGGTTCATTTTCCATGTCGGCTACAAATTCTTGAGGCTCAACAAAAATGTGACGGTTACAAGGAAACAAGCCACTTTTTCTGAAACCATTTGAAGCTGTTGCTACGGTTGCTGCTCTATTATAAGCCTCACCCAATAGCCTGCCTACCTGATAGTGAGTAACTACTCGACCACTATTCTGCTTTAGCCAAGTTTCTATTGCTTGAGCATAGTAGGCCTTTAAGGAAAACATAAAGGAGCGATCAAGAGGCTGCATTTTGTGGGTGCAGTGTGGCGGTAAAGATACTATATGCACACCATTATTGCGAGCAATTTCCAGAAGTTGAAGATTCCTTGTGTGTGAAAAATGTCCGTCTAGAACCAAAATAACAGGATCATCTTTGGTAGGCTTGACGTTTGCTAAAAATTGTTGCTGAAACCATTTCAAGAAGCTGTCCATCTGAATCCATCCTGACTTGTGACAGGCCGCAATAGTGCCATTTGGTGCTCCATCGAGTAGTTCAGCCTTCATGTTTACCCTAGGAAAGACTAGCAGTGGGGGAATATAATGTCCGGCTGCACTCATACAGATCACGACAGTGACCAGTGAGCCCCTCTCACCAGAGGAGACTGATCCAACCTGACGTTTTCCCTTTAAAGATATTACTTTACTAGTTTTGTGTTGCACTACAGTCAAGCCGGTTTCATCGCAGAGTAAAGGAGCAGCAAGAGAACGGCCTCATTCCCCATGTTAAATCCCATAAGAAATCGCTAAGGTTCATTCTGGCAATTTTTGTCTAAATCAAGGTCACACCATCTCAACTAACTCGTCGAGCCACCAACGGGGGAGTGGGGAAAACGGGGTAGTGGGGGAGTTAAATCTCCTTTAACGTCGAATAGAAAAATCATGCCAGAAGGGCCTTAGCGTATATCTCAGCTATCGTTGGTCCGATTTAAACGGGGAAAAAGGCATTATGTAGAGATCGTGGTATAGATTGACGTTGAATAGAATTTTTGCGCAGAACAAAAAGCCAGAAGGGCCTTAGCGTATATCTCAGCTATCGTTGGGCTGATTTAAACGGGGAAAACGGGGTTATGAAAATAACTCAGTATTGATTGACGTCGAATAAAATTTTTGCGTAGAACGAAAAGCCAGAAGGGCCTTAGCGTATATCTCAGCTATCGTTGGTCCGATTTAAACGGAAAAAACGGCATTATGTAGAGATCGTGGTATAGATTAACCTCGAATAGAATTTTTGCGTAGAACGTAAAGCCAGAAGGGCCTTAGCGTATATCTCAGCTATCGTTGGTCCGATTTAAACGAGGAAAACGGGATTATGAAAATAACTCAGTATTGATTGATGTCGAATATAAAAATCATACGCAATCAACTACCAACTAAAAAAAGTAAACATGACCATTTATAGCAGATTAAATTTTTATTTTTTATATATTTTCTAGTTGTTCTTTTACTTGAAATTCTTTTTTATTTCATTTAGATTTTTTTTGTTTTTAATTAGCTTAATCGCTTAATAATTATTCGTTCCAACATAAATTGAGAATTCGATTCTAAAACCCTTACTTAATAATAAGAAAATATTCAAAGAAAAACTAAAAGCAAGAAAATAATGGTATGCAAATTGACCAGCAGTTTTTCAAATCTTTTTTAAATATTTAAGTAAGATAACGATAGGGGTAATATGCCTAATATCGCATACTTCCTAATATCGCACCCCCGTATTATTCAATTTGCAAGTGTCGCACTCTAGCAGTGAACGAGCTAAACTCTTAGTTTTGCTCGCCTGTCAAAGCAGTATAGGAATTTTCGTGGTTAGGTGGTCATTAAAAGTGCTCGTGTAAATATTCCAATTTCGCTAAGTGAATACTTTTGAGAGGGAAAAATATATCAACAATTTTATGAAGAAAGGTATGTAGACCTCATTTAAATTCTATGTGCGATATTAGTGGCATTATGTAGCTCAAATAATTTGTGATTAAAACATGTGTCAAGTTTATAGAATTCATGCAAATGGCGTCAATATTTACATTATAATATATGCCTAATATCGCCCATGTTGTGTAGTCCTAATACCGCACCGTGCGATATTGGGAATAGTTTGTTTGGAAATTGTTCTCTTTGTAGTTTGTCTTACGTTATCATTTTAATAACAGATGGACGCAATAACAAAAAAGAAAAGAAAACAATGGTGCGCAGAAGATATGAAAAGGGCAATTATCTGTGTCCGGTCTAAAGATATGGGCCTTCAACGAGCTTCGAACTATTTTAATGTATCCAAGTCGACTCTCAAAGACAAAGTTAATAGTGGCGAACAAGACTTGGATAAATTAATTAGCACTAAACTTGGTCGAAAACCCGCATTGGATAAGGATTTAGAAACAGCGTTAGCTGAATTCTGCTTAGAGATGGAGTCCCGCTTTTATGGTTTACGAACAACCGATTTGAAAAAAATGGCTTTTCAGTTAGCAGAACAAAACGGTCTTCCCCACCCATTTGCAAGAAAGGATCAGGCTGCTGGGTGGAAATGGCTTCGAGGCTTTATGAAGAGAAATCCTCACTTAAGTCTTCGAAAGCCTCAAGCAACATCAATGGCAAGAATAAAAGGATTCACCAAAGATAAAGTGTTTGCATTTTTTGATATTTTTGAGCCATTACTGGATCTAATAAATCACTCTCCAAATAGACTATATAAGTAGTAAAGGAGCAGCAAGAGAACGGCCTCATTCCCCATGTTAAATCCCATAAGAAATCGCTAAGGTTCATTCTGGCAATTTTTGTCTAAATCAAGGTCACACCATCTCAACTAACTCGTCGAGCCACCAACGGGGGAGTGGGGAAAACGGGGTAGTGGGGGAGTTAAATCTCCTTTAACGTCGAATAGAAAAATCATGCCAGAAGGGCCTTAGCGTATATCTCAGCTATCGTTGGGCCGATTTAAACGGGGGAAACGGGGTTATGTAAAAATCGTAGTATAGATTAACGTCTAATAGAATGTTTGCGTAGAACGAAAAGCCAGAAGGGCCTTAGCGTATATCTCAGCTATCGTTGGTCCGATTTAAACGGGGAAAAAGGCATTATGTAGAGATCGTGGTATAGATTGACGTTGAATAGAATTTTTGCGCAGAACAAAAAGCCAGAAGGGCCTTAGCGTATATCTCAGCTATCGTTGGGCTGATTTAAACGGGGAAAACGTGGTTATGAAAATAACTCAGTATTGATTGACGTCGAATAAAATTTTTGCGTAGAACGAAAAGCCAGAAGGGCCTTAGCGTATATCTCAGCTATCGCTGGTCCGATTTAAACGGAAAAAACGGCATTATGTAGAGATCGTGGTATAGATTAACCTCGAATAGAATTTTTGCGTAGAACGTAAAGCCAGAAGGGCCTTAGCGTATATCTCAGCTATCGTTGGTCCGATTTAAACGAGGAAAACGGCATTATGAAAATAACTCAGTATTGATTGACGTCGAATATAAAAATCATACGCAATGCCATAAGGGCCTTAGCGTATATCTCAGCTATCGTTGGGCCGATTTAAACGAGAAAAATGGCATTATGAAGATAACTCAGTATTGATTGACGTCAAATAGTTTTTTTGCGTAGTACAAAAAGCCAGAAGGACCTTAGCGTGTATCACGTGGTCCGATTTAAACGTGGCAAACGGTATTCAGCTTGAACTATCATCTGTAATTTCCAACAAAAGAATTACCATCAAAAGACAAAAGGGCATTAACGTATCGTTATTGGTTTTTAACTGTTATCTAGCTGAAATTATCATATCATTACTACGTCGAGCAGATAAATCATATGTAAAGCCAGAAGGGCCTTAGCGTAGTAGTCCGATTTAAATGGGAAAAATCGTCGAAAAACATCGTACAAAAAAATCATACGCAGTGACGGACCACCTGCGCAGTGCCAGGCCAAAAGGGCATCGAACGTATATCTTTGTTAACGCAACGCACGCACGCACGCAAGTGCACATGCGCAGTGGCAATGTTAAAATGACTTAAGCGTGTATTTCGGCTATATATATTTTTTCTATAGATTTTTGTATTTATGTAATATCTACAAAATAATTTTTGATTTTTGTAGTTTTGAGATACATGTTACAGCGTAAATATCTCAAATACTTTATTTTTGTATCTATATTTTTAAACAAAAAAATATTTCTCTATTTTTGACTTTTATTTTGAGTGGGTAATAAAAAAGCAGAAGTCTTTAGTATTATTATTTTATTCATAAAAATAAATTATTTTTGTTAACATAGTTTTTAATTGATTCAATATGCTATCATCAGGACATGGTACTCCAAACAGATTCCAGCTAAAGGTTCCTGCTTCTACAACTTTTCTTGTATATTCACTGTATTTATAGTAGGTATTTCGATAGAAAAAGTATATATGTCCATCTATATATCTAAATGCAGAAGTTAGATCTCCAGGAATTCCAGGAAACAGATCTCGTGTTCTTCCACGATTAAGTATTTCTCCAGTTTCGTTAAATTCAATGTATATATCATTGTTGTATAACAGGTACATCAGCCCACTGTTTGTTTGAAATAGAGCATTAATAACTTTAATATTTTGAATCGGTAGATTAAAACTATGTTGAATGTTTAAATTAGGAAACGCCACTACGTACACGATTTGTTTACTGATTGTAACCAAGTCTCCAACAGAGTTTTGAAAGATATGTGAAATGTGAGATTTGAGCTCTCTAGGAAGATAATCAGCAATAAGTTCTGAT